GCCGACCGGGGATCGCCGGTGGTTGCTGCCTCGTAGAATGGGTGGGTCATGCCGCGCAGCGACGTGCGACGGCGGGCCTGGGCAGCGAGGGGCATGCGGGGCATGATGGCGGCGGGAGGCGATGCGATGATCAACCCAACACCAGTGGCTGTTGCTGCAGCGCCGGGCGCGCGAGCGCGCCAAACAGCCATTGTTGACCCAGGCTGTCCTTGCACAGGGAGCTTGATTTTTTCCCTCTGCTTCGTATGATGGGGGTGGAAGTTGTTTCAACAGCAGCGCATTTGGCAGGACATGTCTGGTCTGGATGTTGTCGGGATTGAGCTGAACATAACACCTCGCAATACGCTGGGCTCACCTGATGAGGTCGCTGATGTCAATGTACTAATGGATTATGTAATGAAATGGCGTGCGTGACACCAACTCTGCAAGTATGTGTTTGGTGACCAGCTCAGCACAGAAGTCACAAGGAAGGCCTTAGCACAATACGGGCGGAACATGCCAGCAAGAAATCGGCAGGTCCGCCATCCTTTTCTGATCTTGTAATCCACCCCCTCCCAGGGGTCGCACATCGTCGTCAGTGGGCTGGGCCCCCTGATGCAGCTCAAATGATCGTATATCCAGCAAGGCCAATGAGCCGTTGCTTTTGGCAGCTCCAGGGTTCATATGTCCTCGGGGCGGGAGTATGAGAGCAGCTGCAAGGCCGGACGACCCCTGGCTCGACACGCGCGCTTTCGCGCCCATGAGTGGAGCAAAACCGTTGCACTTGAATGCTGGCACAAAGGTGACATCGCGTTTGGTATCAAATCATCTACTGCACCTCGCTGCTTTTACATACAAGCCTTCGCGTCTGATCTTGTGGCCTGTTGCTGGCTTCACGCGACGCTGCACAACTCCCTCGATCTGTGCCGAGCTGCTTACAACTACTCAAAGTGCAGATTAACTAGGTCCTTTGTCTTATATCAGCATTTCATTGTCACAGCAGATCGCACTTGGGCAGCAGCAATGGCAGACGTCCTGAAGGAGACGCAGAAGCTCTTCGATCAACTCAAAGTGGGTTCTGGATTAGTCAGCTCTGGGACCGGGGTCAAGTGGAGCTCGTCGGTGCATGGGCACCCAGCGCCGCGGCAGTGCGTCCTGCGCAGCACAGAGCTGAAAAGCAAAGTTGAGCACACCTGCTGTGGAGGCATTGCAGCACAACAATACCATGTGCCATGAATGCCATGCAGGGAGCCTATGACAAGAAGAAGTACGACGAGGCGAAGAAAGTGTTAGCGCAGCTCAAGGTAACGACCTGCCAGGGACAGCCTTCACCGCCGCCTGGCAGCAGCCCCGGGCAGCGACTTGCCGGCTTGACGGCTCGAAGCCGCTATGAAAGCGATGGATCTGCCAGCAGTGTAGCCAGCATGCTCACAGCTCTTGTCCCCATTCGCAACGCCCAAAGTGCAGTTGGTCCTCTGGCACAATAAGCCCCCCCTGCGCCCCCCCTCGGCCCGCCCGCAGCTGAAGCTCATCCAGCTCCCATCGCTGCCACCCAACAGCGCGGCCGGGCCCACCGCAAAGCAGGAGCTGACTCTTGCACGTGAGTTACTCGTCGCACTGGGTGGTTCTTCACGGTGCAGGGGAGGGGTGGGACAGCGCGCCCCACCCAGTGGTGGGTGCCTGTGCGCCACCAGCCCGCCGAGCGTGTAGGGTGCAGCGTGAGGACGTCGATGATGCAGCGCGTAACATTAAAAGCAAAGGGCATTTCCGGAGTAATGCAGCTGGCAAAGTGTCGCCTGCTTCGGAAGGCGCGTCCCCACAGCATGAACAGCACGCGGTGTGCCGCGCCTCTGCCCTCTCCCTCCCCCTCTACGCACACACGCCCCTTCTTTTCGTCCCCCACACCCCTGGACCTGTCTCAGGCGAGGTCCTTGAGGCGGCGGTGCTGGTGGCCCTCAAGGCCCACGACGAGGCGGCGCTGGAGCGGGCCTTCGTGCAGCTCAAGACGTTCTACGCGGACACGCGGTGCGGGGTCGCGGGCGCCTGGCGGGTGGTGGGGGCAGGAGTTGCGCGGGAGCTGCCGGCAAACTTGAGCTGGCGCAGCAATCGTGGACATCTGCTGTGCCCCTCCTGCAGTTTTCGAGGAGAGTGGCGTCCAGCGCTAGCCAGCGACCGCGGGCGGGCTGCGATTCGCCCCCCGACCCTGGTCTGCCCTGCGCCTGTCCACGCC